TCTGCGTTGCTTTGTGGCCGCCTACTCCGCCGCTGCACGCCGTTCTCTCGCTAGCTCTGCTGCTGCTGTCGCTTGTGGCCACGCTCGCCATGGACGCTAGAGCAGAGCTCAACGTCGCCCGTGCCTCCCATCCCCTCTGCGCCTCCTCCACTCTCGCGACCACCGCCACCGCCTTTGCGATGGCATGTTCCACCTCACGCGCGCTCGCCCTAGCTGGCGCCGCCGGAGCCTGTCGTCGCTGCCACCATGGCCGGCTCCCGAGCCGAGTTCGCCGTCGCTGCTACGAGCCTCCTTCATCCCAACTGGCCTCACTTTCATGTTCCTCGAGCCTCCCCGTGTGCACTGCACCTCTCCTCCGAACACCTCCACCATCGTGCGCGGCTGCCGCCGGTGAGGCTACCGCGACCGTCGCTGTCTCGCATGGCCGGCCCTTCACCGGCCGTCTCCGTCCATGATTGGACCTCCTACGGGTGCGGCTGGGCACGTTGATGCTCCAGGACCCCTCCTTCGCCGCCGACGAGCACCACGGCGGCCGGAATCGTGAACTCTGGCGAGCTGCCCTGCTTTCGGCTGGGTGAAGAAGAGGAGGGAGCTTCTCGCGTAAATAGGAAGTCTTCTAGGGGGTTAAGTGCAGAATCCAAGACTCATATAAATAGTGTTATTAGGACTTGTTTGCTTGGTTTAATTAAAGTTTCTTGCAGGGTCCTCTATGCAAATGTGTTTTTCCTTTATTCCTTTTAATTGGCTGAGGCTTTCAAAAATCCTAATAAATTGTAGAAAAATCCAAAAATAGCAAATGAGGACTTTTTGGAATCCTTGTAAATAGATATACACAGTAGAGTCATAATATGATATGTTTTAGTAGAAAATTTTCACTGTTTTTTATTTATCTATGATAATTAGGGTTTTCGAGGAAGAAATTCATATCTAAAGTTGTGGTGCTCCAATTGCCGTGAAATTTTTATAGTAGATTACTAATGCTATGTGTGTGCTGTGGTAAAAATTTCATGCTCATTGGATGCTGCATGAAGGAGTTATTGATTTATGTTGTTAGTGTTTGATAAATAGCTTTAAATGGTTTTAAATATGTTATAATTTTTTTATGATGAGGTAAAAATAGAAAATGTTGTTCCATTACCTTGGTATGATGTTTTTGTGTCATGTTGATACATAATATGACCATGCATTTACAGAAAATATTGAATTTCATATTTATCTTCCTCTCACATGATTTTTTGCAATTGTAATTTGTCCTTTTTGTAGTAATTAAATTACAAAACCTGAGCATGTGAAATTGGTACAGTAATCATGTTTGGTCATCATCTTTCTCTCATAAAAATCTCAGCCCCAAACTAGTTGTTCTCTTATGGCACTAAAAATTATATATATAGGGAGAGTATATTCAGTAGCCAGCTACAAAATAAGTTATTCCGTAGCCACCTCCATTTATGATAATTTTATATACTAATTTACGATAATGCCAATACATATTTACGATAGTTGGGTTACTATAACACATGGAGATATTTACCATAATGTTATAGTAAACCTCGTAAATTAACATAGTAATTATCGTAACTTAAAGTGGCTACAGAATACGTTATTTTATATATATATATATATACATTCTATGGAAGTTAATGAAGGTTAATAACAAATAGGCATATGCCTAAGCCATGAGATGCTACTTTAATTACACTAACTTTGTGAAATGTAGTTGAGCTATATGGATGTCTGTTTGAGCCTTTGAATGATATATATATGAAATATTTATTGGGGAAATAAGTGAAAACACCAACATGCTACCTTTTGAAATTTGGCTGCATATGTACTTTTTGTGGTGCAATCATTTTCAAGATGATAATGATGTTTTCTGTAAATGTTGAAAATACAAAAGTTGTAGGTAACTTCATAATATAGCTTGTGTTAAATTTTCATGACCATAATCCTGATGGTTTAGGAGATATAGATTTTACAAGTTTATTGTCAGGTTTTGCATGCTCTCTGTGTAGATCTAAATGATTGTGTTATTTGACTTAGCTAAGCTTTGAATCATGTCTTGGTGATACTAGATGTAGTGATTTTCATGAGCTTTCCAAATTGTTAAAGATGACACCTTTTGGTGGTCTAAATCTCTAGTTATGAGCTTGTGAAGTGGAATGATATAATCTGTCCTAATCTGAATAGAGATGTCTTCTTTGTGATGTTTGACATGGTTAACTTTAGAATTAGCTTGTGGTGTTTATAACAAAATTGTGCATAGTTTACTAAGCTTTCTAAAAAGTGTAGAACCACCTTGTTGTGAAAGCTAGAACTCAACTTATTGATGTCTGAAGTTGCGTCCATATTTTGGACAGAATTGTTGCTTTGTGTGTTTAATGCTAAATAGCTGTTGAATAACCTAAATATGATAATAATAAAGTTGTAGATAACTTAATAATCTTTCTATAAAGTTAAGGATCATGCTTATGGATGATTAGAACTCCAGTTATATATTTCTGAAGTCCATGTCAGTTTTCTATCCTTATCGGTACAGACCTGAGATATTGGCATATTTGATCATGTTAAGCTGTGAAATAGCTTTTGAAATGAATAACAAAGTTTTATATAATTTTATTAGCTTTACAGAAAGTCTAGGGTCACCCTTGTTGGATGCTTATATCTCTAGTTATGGTTAAAACAAGTAACTGCTGTGCTGCTGTCCAGATTTCTATACATGTGCTAGGTGATTGCTTTAGCTTGCTCTTGTTTTAGCTAAACATGTTGGTTAGTTCTTGATCGATGCATGTGTGCAATATCTAAACTTAAGTTTATTTGTGTGCCTTGCCTAATATGCTTGCTATCCCTCTATTATAGGTTGTGTGATGTTTAGTTAAATAACTCTAGGTGCCTATGTCTTGCATGATCTTATGTTTGCCTTGAATGTTATTATGTGATGCATATCATATTATCATTCTTCGTATTCATGCACTTGCATCTTGCATCTCATCTAGGTACGCTAGATGAACCACGTGAAGGACATGATATTGGAGCTGAACCCGAAGGCGGTGTATGGTGGACCTATCCTGAAGATGGAAGGACTAAGCAAGTGCCAAGATAGGAGATGCTCGTCAAGCGAATGTCATCTCACAAACACTGACCTAGTGTTGGATCACAGGCAAGCCCCAGAGCATTCTAAGCCTCCTATATTTTTAAACTATCAACTTGAGTTCTTTTATGCTGATGCATTAAGTAATAGGAGTTGATTAGAACCACTTGCTGCATATATCTTTCTTGTCCGATATATATATATATATATATATATATATATATATATATATATATATATATCTTGAATCATATGTAGGTCTAGGATCGAATATATGCTTAGCCATGCTTAGTCGGTAGAAGTCGGGTGATTACCTGTCACCTACATGATATAGGCTAATAACTAATCACGGTTGACTATATTTTCTAGCGTGGAAATAACTATGTGTCAATGAATAAAGGAGACCGGGTGGGATCGTGATAGAGAAGCAACAAGGCATGGAGGTCTTGGGTGCCTATCTATCCCGTCTGTGTCTATTAAGGACTAATTCGCTGTACGTCCTCATGTCATGTTGAACGCATGCCTAGCACTTAGTTGACCAGATTTGATGATACTACCACGAAGCCGAGTAGCTCAATTCAGGCCGGGCCCTGATAAGTGAAAGTGCGTATACTTGAGGCAGTAAGGATGTGCGGAGAGCCAATGGCGTGAGTTCAAGGGCGGGACTGGGTCTCGATCTTGCTGGCAGATTGATAGAATCTCTGAGGGTGCGGCGCTGATTGGACCCACGAGTTAGTCCTGAATTGTACCAAAGGTGACTTGAGGCTACCTTCGTGGGGTGTGCCTCGGTTTGTGTTAGGAATAAATTTCCCAGCTGGGTAGGAATCGATTCGAATCGTCGTTTCTCCCGGACGGTGAGAACTTGACTGAGCAGCGGCAATGTAGAGTAACTTAATGGAAACTTGATGGTTATGATGTTGCTCAAATTATTCTTATACCAGATATGGTTACTAATGCTTGTTAGCTTAATCAAGTGATTGCTCTAGTACATGTGCTAATCTAGAGATGCTTAATTGAATATGTATTCAAATTGATGCTAGAGGTACTAAATCTCCAAGTTATATTACTTAAGCTTTTATGCAAAATGTTGTCTAGCTAACTCCACCTATAAAGCTTTGCATACTCCTGGGTGTCATTTTATTTTTATGACGGGTAAGTCTAGCTAGGTACATTCGAGTACTCAGGGTTTATCCCATCATGTTGCAGGTGAAGTTCTCGGCCTGCTGAAGATGGTGGCTAACCACCGGTGGGCTCGATGACTCTATATTTATTTCTCATCTATATGTTTTTATCAGATGATGTCACTTATACTAGCAATATATTTAAAACTTATATTAATGTAATCACTTAAAGTTATGTTGTTTTCTCTTAATCGGTTTTAAAACCCAAACTTGTACTATTATTTGTGAACTCATTTGTAATATTATTTTCGTTGCAACTCTGTGTATGTGATGTGTATTTGCTTAATCAAGCGATCTTGGTGTGATGTTGATTTACCGAGGTCCTTTGTGACACTCGGCGGACTATCGAGTTTATATAAGTGAAAGTATGCGCGTGTCAACGTGTTAGCGGGGACATCCGTACTTGATTTTGTATAAATTAGGTGGTTCTGTCACAAGACCCATGCCCATAAACCCACTGGATCTATCTTTTTACCCTTTAACAAACCCGTATGCAGAGAAATTGACCCATACCCTTGCTCTAATAGGGTAAAAATCCATCGGGTTTCGGGTACCATTGCCATCTCAGCCATGCCGTGAGAACAACGGTTTTTACTATGTGAAGTCCTGCACTTTTCATCCCCTTGCAAGTGAGGCCACTTTCACCCGGGAAGCACGAGCTTACATGCTAGGACAAAGCCACGCAAACCAAAACATTTCTACCCTGCACACACCCATGATCCACCATCCCCTCACGCCTCGACGGCAGCTTTCAGCGCCGTGAGCCGCGCCTGCTCCGCGATGGTCCCACCGTGAGGAGCCACGCCGGCACCGCCCTTGAACAGCAGGATGGCCAGGTTGCCGATGCCAAAGTAGATGAAGCAGCCGGAGTGGTGCGTCACAAACGACCCGAAGTCGGTTCCCACGATGCACTGCCATCCGGGCCCGTACGACCGATCGAACTCCTGCAAAAGACGCATCATCGCCATCAGGAATTGTATATTCTGAATCAGTACACTGCTGCAATGTTCAGTGTTGATTGCAAGAACTTATGGTCGCAAGGGCCACACCTTCTTGATGAACCGTGCGATCTCCGTGGAGTCGGCGGCCTCAAAGTCGTCCAGTGCCTTCCCGGCGAGTCGGAGCGCGTACTGCTGCATCGCCTGCCGCATGTCCGTGTCCCCGATCACCGCCTGGCTCTCCAGCATGCTCGCCGCCTTGCTGGGAGGGAAAGGCTGTACCTTCTGAATACTGATGCGCACAATGCAGTGATGGTGAAAACAGGCACTTGGTTCTGCCAGTCCGCTGTGTGGGTACTGAAACATTTGCCGGTCAGCTGGCTATATAGCCTCTAGCTAATAGGCGCGCCGAGCTGGGATTTCACGGTGGAATTGGATATATCCAGATTAGCTAGGTATCGCCGGCAGCTTGCCAAGTGTCAATGACGGCCGCGCCTCGACGTTCGTGGCTCTTCTAGCAGCGGGGTGTGAAAGCGTATGCCGTGTCCAAGCGGCGGCCATAGAACAGAATGTGGAGGCCCCTGCTCCAGTTGGCTGCGATGTGGTATTGGAAGTCTGGAACCCTCAAGGCTCAACGACGACACTTTCGTCTGGTTTGCATGCCCCCATTCGCGCGACAGATTCCGGGATGGGCCGGAGGATCCGTCAATTTGTCTACCACGCTGGATGTCCAGCGCTAGTCGTGCGGTAGCTAGAGCAAGCCTGAGCTCAAGTGTTCAGCAAAAGTACTAGTAGAATCTGGAGCTTGGATGTATCTTGCATAGTTGCATGGCTGAAATTCTTTATTTGAACGAACGGGGACTGAAACTCTGAATCAGCTAACTTGTGACAGTATTTTTTAGTTTGGCACATATGAAGAAATGGCATATTGTGGCCTGAGTGACGCTCTTAGACTAAGCCTGTGGGCCATTAGAACCAGCGGAGGTGGCACGGCCGGGTGTCATTTTGAGAACCAATTGTGGACCAAATTTGGGAGAATCCACAATGAAATTGGTCTGAACTCTGAAGTAGCAGTGGGAAGTTAATCTCCCTCCAAATTCTTGACTTGGCGGCGTATCAACTACAATTGCAGTAGGTGATGTTTTGGCAGTGGCTTGTACATGAAAAGGTACCATCCATCTACTTGCAGGTGTTGTTTGCGTCAAACACAGAAATTCTTCAGAAAGTTTCTGCATCTGTCCTTGTTTATCTGCTTCATTTGTGATATTCTCTTCATCTATCTGCTCTTTAGTTTTCTCATATGTGCGTTTGTCTTTGTTTTTGTGCGGCAAAGCAGTTGCATCACGACACCTGAATGGAGCTTTTTTAAGACATTTTCAATGTAATCCTTCTTATTAGATGCTTTTCATCAGTCCCTATAATTGTTCTTGCATTCAGATTTGTCTTTGTCGACTGAATATTATTACTAAATCGGGTTTTGCTGTGGTACCCTCAAGTAACCGTGGACCGTCGATTTGGCGGGCTATAATCACATATTAGAATAAATGTATTTTATTATTTTGAAAAACAGGAAAGTAAGAAAAGTTTTAGGTAAAATATCTATCAATTGGATCTAACATGCATGCAACCGCATGAGGCCTGCGTTTGTATGGTTGATTTCTTTTTTTTTAGTATGTATGATTGATTCCTAACGTGACATGTGATATTTTTTAATTAATTGATCTATGTGCATATGTAATTTATGTCAAGGTTAGTTGTATCTAAACATGAGCTGTTTTTTTTCTACAAATGTGACAAAAGTAGAGGTGCGTTCTAGTTATTTATTTAAATTAGAACGTGAAAGTGTTGGTAATGACAACATCAGTCTTGAACGTATTGGTATTTGAATGATTTATTTATTTATTTACTTTCATAATCCCAACATTAGTATTTTTATGACTTAGTATTTTGCAAATGTATGTTGGTAACGGAAAATTCTACTATTAATCATTAGCTTTTGACATTAATTTATTCGATTTATACCATCAGATGTGTTCACTACGTGTCATGTTCACGTATGTGATGTACCTCTAGGGTGCCACGTCTGGCACGGGCACAAGGCTGGTACACCAGTATATATGCCGCTGTTGCATGAACCCGTATATGCGTTGTTGCATGCTGTACACGGGCACCCGTTTATGGCCAGAAACAAGCTGTTCTTGAATAACAAATATCCTGTATACATTTGTTGGTTTGTTGCCTTTTCTATTTTCTGTTTTCTAAACAATTTAATTAATTTATAATTACTTAATTATTGTATGCACTTTAAAAATCAAGGGCTAAGATTTGTTTGAGATCTTACCTCGTATGAGGTAATGGGTGTACCTTAGCAAGGACCAAATCTATTAAATCAGCCTTGTGGCAGAGAGAATGCAGAGCATGTGGAGTGGTTCGGAGTGCTCCTACCAGTTCATTGTTTTTCTTATAAAAAAATATACCACTTATTTATTCCGAGGCACTTGATTTGATTGAACTCAAAACTCATCAATCTCTATGAAGAGCGTACTGAAGGAATTGGCAAAATGACCAGCAACTTGTAATGTTCCAAGAGTGGTTCAGCCTAGATTTGCTCAAATCCAGATCTTGGATTGTTCTATTTCTACAGTCCTGATCCAGTACACTGCATTTTGTGTAAAAAAACAATCGGTATGGGTTACAGTAATGAATAGATACTATCACAAGAAAGTGCTAGCATTCCCTGTCAACTACTAGTAAAGAAAAGTTTTGTGATAGAAGAAACATGTGACATGGTTGGTTGCATCATGAAGTCCATGACAATTTATGACAACTAAGCTAGGATGGATGACACTTCGATGGTTGGTGGCATTTTGCTTTCATTTGGCTAAATGTAGGTAGCAAATGCTCTCCACTAGTTTTCCAGTAATGCTTTGCTAAACTTCAACAGTACAGTACTGTACTGTACTGTCCCAAGCAACTCTGCTCTATCCATTTGTCTGTCTCTTCAAAGCTCGAAAAGCAACTGCTCCATCACATGATCTTGGATGGAAAAGCAAAGGAAGCTCCAGAGATTGGGGTATATTTTGGTTCTACTTTGGATTACATGCCATACCATCCCTGGTCCATCTAAATTACCTACATTTCAGAGGACACTGTCTAATGATGATGAACTATTTTGGAGCATATGCGACTAACTACCAAGTTTGATTTTGTCCCTTCCAATCATGTCTGTTAAAGCATTAACTGCACTCTCTGCATGTAGAAACATTTCCTTGAGCCACTCAAAGCACCTAGAGAATCAGCATGCCCTAGGTTTGACAAATAGCGGCCAAATCTGCTGCGATGATTCGAGTCAATGCATAAACATTGCAGCAAAAGATAGTAGTTGGCTTGCAAACTTTTTTCTTCTCAAGAAAGTGGAGCTAGCTTTTCCTTTCCTCTGCATGGGGAAACAGAAGCTTTTAATTTGCTATTGTATCATCCTATGGGCTATAGCACATGTACTTTGTCACCCACAACCACTTTCCATGGGACCAAAACTTTGGGGGCACTTTGCGAGCCACTACCCAAGATGATCTTGAAGAGCAATCATGGGTCCAGTTCAGAGATCTGGCCCTTTTCCATATATATATATAAGCGCGCGAGGAAATGGATGTTAGTTCCGAGATCTTCGGCACGGATGAGCTGACCGCTCACCGTCGTTACCGATCACACACTACGGCTGGAGGAAGAAGAAGAAGGGAGGGAGAACAGAGCGCACACACACAGCACAAGCACCAGCGTTGGCTGAAGCTTTGCAGAGTAGATGGCAAAACTGAACTCGCTCAACTTTACTGAGTTATAGTGGTAAGCCATATATACAACTCTACCTATCTAATCCTAGTACACAGACATGTCAGGCTGGCATACTGATACAGTGACTAGATGTGACAGCAGGGCTGACTTTGACGTCTGCCCCTGCTGTGGCTACAATGCGGCTGGGGAGCCTTTCGGCGCCTATCCCTGCCGCGCGTACAGACGAGGGAGCAGCGGATTACTTTACAGTCTAACCACTACAAGAAAACCGAACATCAACGACCAGATCCTAACAACCACGTACAATATGTGGTCCAATTTTATAATGTGGTCGCTATCTCTATTTTCTCCCATGGAGCCGATCGAGTTCCGGAATTTTTCCACGATTTTTTCGTATTTTTTATTACTGCCCGCGCTGCCAGGATTTTTCCCGCTATTTTGTTCACGGAGTCGAGTTCCTGCGGAGGAGATGAAATAATAAAAGTATAAAACACGTAAAAACGAAGCTTAACCAGGGATCGAACATGTTACCCGCTGAATACTGATCGGTGACTCAACCACTAGGCAATAGCTCACGTTTCATTCAAAGAAAGGAAATATATTGTTTTGTAAATCAAATTTAGAAGAATATTAAGTTGAATAAAAGCTTCATCTAGTAGTTCCATAAGAATGGAGTAAATCTAAATCATCTATTCCATTCGATTTCAAATATTTATCTATCCATCCAAAAAAAAAGTGGCCTTATAGAAAATGACCCCTCTATGTTAAATGTAAATTTTGCTCAGGAACACCGCTCATACATGGTATTTGATGAACACACCGTCAACTCATAAATTTGCTAAACCATATGAATTTGTGTTTCTTTGCCACTGGACACCCCATCTATTAAAATATTTTAATTTTGCGTTCTTGGAGAGAGAAAGATGGGTGAATAAAATATTTTATGTGCATATATTTTATTATATCACGAAAAATTTCCCCTCATATATATTTTGGTCTCCCGTATTTGAATAGTATACACTTCTTTTTTGGCGCTAAAATAACGCGGGATGCTGATCCATTCTGTTTTGGCGCTAAAAAATGTGGAATTATCTATTCACTTTTGGCGCAAACTTCATTTTTCTGCAGGTACATAAATGAGAAGTCTCGTATCTATCTAACCTTTGACCACCGCTGAGCTATCCAGAGCCTAGCGATCCGCAAGGACGGTTTCTACAGCGGCGCGGATCATAGAGCCGCTGCCTCACCGGCCCCTCCTGCGGCGGCTGTCGTCTCGCTGCCCTTCCGTCCCTGCGCCTCCTGACGCAGCAGTCCACCGCTTCCCTGCACCTCCTCCCGCCGTCATCTCCTCCGGGCGCGGATCTTAGAGCCGCTGCCTCACCGGCCCTTCCTGCGGCGACCGTCCTCGCCGCCCTTGGGAACGTCCACCGGTCCCCGGAGGAGTGCTTCTCTACTCG